GGTTTTTGGCCTTTGTTATGTCAGTGTGGTATACAGTATTACATTAATTAATTTTTGTATGTTGAACTATCCTTGCATCCCTGGGATAAATCCCACTTGCTTATGATGGGTGATCTTTTTAATGTGCTGTGGAATTCAGTTTGCTAGTATTTTGTTTAGGATTTTTGCATCAATATTCATCAGGGATATTGGTCTGTAGTTGTCTTTTCTTGTAGTATCTTTGTCTGATTTTGGTATCAGGATAATGCTGGCCTCATAAAATGAGTTTGGAAGTATTCCAACCTCTTCAAATTTTTGGAAGAATTTGAGAAGGATTGGCATTAATTCTTCTTTAAATATTTGATTGGATTCTCCAGTGAAGCTATCTAGTCCTAGGCTTTCCTTCATTGGGAGGTTGTGGATTAACTGATTCAATTCCCTTACTAGTTACACATTTGTTCAGATTTTCTTCCTGATTTAGTCTTGGTAGGTTATGTTTCTAGGAATGTATCCATTTATTCTAGGTTATCCAATTTATTGGCATATAATTGTTCATAGTATTATCCTTTTTATTCTTATATCCTTTTTTGAAAGTTAATTTTTAAGTAATTTCAGATATTTAGTAGTAATACATGAATTTTAGAAAAACATTGGTAATCCCACCCCCAATGTAAGAGTGTTTCTGTCACTTTTGTATATTCTATTATCCTAATTTCTATTATCTATTATCTATTTTATCTAGTTGTAATTTTTATGATACTACTCTATTACTTTCTCTACCCATCAAGCACAAATCCTTTTTTTCCTAAAAAAGGATGAGTTGGAGTGCAGACCAAGGTCCAGAGTTTGTAACCAAGAGCCTCAAGAGAACAACCTTCAGGGAGCAGGACTGAGCCCTAATCAGGGTGAATAGTGTCTAACACTTTTAAGTCCTCTTCAAAAAAGACATTAAAATAAAACTATCTGAGGCCAAGTGTAGTGTCTCAGACCTGTAATCCCAGCTCTTTGAAAGACTAAGGCAGGAGGATTGCTTGAGCCCAGGAGTTTGAGTCCAGCTTGGGCAACACAATAAGACCCTATCTCTAAAAAAAGAAAAGTCTGATGGCATGAGGCAGTGGGAATCTTGGAGAGAGGAGTATGTGTTGAATGTGGAAGGGATGTGAATTATTGTACCCCAAGAGAGGGCAGACCATTGGCTGCAATAATTCACACTCCTCCCCATGCAAAATACATTCAATCCTCTCTCTAAACCCCCAAAGCCTCATCTCATCAGACTTTGATTATATTTTCCAAAAATGTCAATTATGGAATAGTGGAGTCTATGTCCTCTCTCCTTGAATCTCTTGGGCCTTTAGAACTGCATCGACCAACAGCATGAGGCTGAAATGATGATACATGACTTCTAAAGCTATATTTGACAAAATGTCATGTGCTTGCTCTCTTTGGTTACTCATTCTTGAAGGTTCACTATTTTGCTGTTAGACTAAGCAGCCTGAAGAGAAGGTCATGGTGAAGAGGAGTCAAGGCCCCCTAGATCACAGCCCTGGTTGAGCTCCTAACAGTTAGCTACAGCTTGTTAGCCATGTATATGAGCCATCTTTAAAGTAGAATCTTTAGCCCCCTTTGAGATAACCCTCTAATGCCACAAGAAACAGAGATGAACTTGTAAATATATGAGTAAAAGAAAAGATTCTTGTTAATTTTAAGCTACTACATTTTGGGGTGCTTTGCTATGCAGTGATAGATGCTTGAAACACACCCTCCAGGTGATATCATCTATTTCTTGGCATTAACTACTTCTATTCTCAAATCTGAATTTTCAGATCACGCGTTTTTTTGGAGCTTCATTCCCATATATCTAACTACTAATTGGATGTATTTCTCCTTAAGCTCAATACATCCAGCATTAAGGTGTTGTCCTTCTCCACTATGTTTTTTTCTATTTTCTTGGTTATTTTACCATCCATTCATTTATGACAGAAATCTGGGAGAACAGTCTCAGTTCCGACATCTCTCCACATCTACTTTTACATCTTAAATATTTTTTGAAGGCTGACAAAGTGTTTTTTAAACACCTATATGATCATGTTACAATTCTTACAATTCAAAAGTGGCTTCAGGCCGGGTGTGGTGGCTCACACCTGTAATCCTAGCACTCTGGGAGGCCGAGGCGGGAGGATTGTTAGAGCTCAGGAGTTCGAGACCAGCCTGAGCAAGAGCGAGACCCCGTCTCTACTATAAATAGAAAGAAATTAGCCAAACAACTAAAAATAGAAAAAATTAGCCAGGCACGGTGGCACGTGCCTGTAGTCCCAGCTACCTGGGAGGCTGAGGCAGGAGGATTGCTTGAGCCCAGGAGTTTGAGGTTGCTGTGAGCTAGGCTGATGCCACAGCACTCTAGTGCAGGCAAAAGAGTGAGACTCTGTCTCAAAAAAAAAAAAAAAAATAAGTGGCTTCACTTTATTTACACAATAAAGTCCTATTTTCTTAGCAGGATATACATGGTTTTCAGTAATCTAGCCCCTTGAGCTCTAGCCCTACTGTCTCTTTCTCCTTTTCACTTTATAATACTGAATTACTAATAGTTCTCCAAATTTATAAAGAAGAAATCAGCCTTTTCCACTCCTTCAAGCTGTTCCACTCATCTAGATTTTAGTGGAATCTGGTTCCTTGTGGTTGTAAGACTCAAGTTTCCATTTTCTTGCTAGCTGTTGGCCAGGGGTTTCTTTCAGTTCCTATAGGCTGCTATCTCGTCCTTGACACATGGCCCTCTCACAATATTTCAGCTTGCTCCTTTAAAGCCAGCAGGAAAATTTTACCATAACAGACTCTTATGTAATGTAACCTAATTGAGGAATTGGCTATCCCATGGGTCCTACCCACACTCAAGGGGATTTTACAAGACTTGTTCACCAGGGGGCAGGGATCTTGGGGGCCATCTTAGAATTCTATTCACCATAGGTAAATACAGGATTCTGTCTGGAAAATTTTAGGATGTATATATTTTAAAATCCTCAGATTATAAAGTTTACAAGAATGCATCTTTCTGCGTATCTGCTTTTATCCACTATATTGGTTACTCAGTGGGTTCTTCGAATCTGGCAATTCATATCCCTCACTTGTGGGAAAATTTTGTGTTTATTCCAGTAATGATTTCTTTCCTTCTGTTTTCTCCCTTCTCTCTTTCTGTGACTCCTATCATTTGGATATTGGACCTCTTGAACTAGTCCTTCAATTTTATTACCTTTTCCCTCCTATCTTCCATCTATCTTTGTTCTTCTTTCTGAGAGATTTATTCAACTTTATTTTTTAATTCTTTGTGGATGCATTGTCTTTCCATCTCCATCAGTGGTGGTTTCTGAACTTTGCATCTTCTTGCATAGTCTGTGTTTCCTCCATGTTATTTATTTTTCCATTTGTTCTGGTTTCTGTCTTTCCTGTTAGGAATTTTCCTGAGGTGTTTGTTAATCCTTGGATATTTATTCATGATTCAGAATTTGAAACCAAGAAGCTGATTGGAAATTCTGAGAACATTGATGGGACTTATTAACTCAGAGCTCTGTAGCGTGAATGGGCCTGGGCTGCTTTTTGGTGAGCCCCAATGTCAGTATCTTTAGGCTTTTGGAGATTACTCAAGTTGCCCAGAAAAGGATCTTCCAGTCTTCTGTTTGAGGATAAAGATCTGGCTTCCAGCATTCTGGGAACTGAGTGGAGAGGGGTCTGGGGGGACATCACCACATTTGGGTACTTAAAACCTCTGCTTTTAGCATGGTATCCATAATCTCAGCTGTTCATGAAATCCTCCGAGATTTCTGCTGGTATTGGGGAGGAACAGTTGCCTATGCTTACAAAGTCGGGGAGGGCAAACTAGGGATCTAACTACTTCTCAAAAGCTTTGATTTATTCCTCTTTATATTAGAGCCTTCCTGCCACTTCTCCTCCAATATTTCTCACCCATTTCCAGACATACCAGACACTGACAGTTCTTGAACTAGGATTCTGCAGTTAAAATTGAGTTGTATCTTAGTTTTCCCTCTCATGGCTTAGGGTTTTGCTATGTAGAATCTCCTAAGTCAGTTATTATTGTGTTCTCTAGCTTCTAAAGTTTTGCTACCTTTTCTCTTATCCTTTCTTCACATATGTGCATTTATATCTCTTTTTAAAAATTCCACTGCTGTAGTTTTCCTGGGATTTCTGGAGGGAGTGAAATTTGATGTTTGTATTCAATCTGCTGTCTTAAGTCAGATGTTCCTCATTGTTTTGTAATGTGTCATTTATTTATATGTTAAGTTCTTATACAAAAGTGTTAATTCCTTAGTTATGTATTACATTTCCTTTGAAATATTTACCTCTACTAGTACCATACTGTTTTATTTATTGTTTTTTTTTTTTTTTGGTTTGTTTCTTTATAATATGCTTCTTACTTACACTGATAATTTTATGTTTAACTCCTTATAGCATCTGTTAGTTTTATAATGCTTTAAGCTATGTGGGTATATGGGGAACACTAAACTTAGGAAATTATGAGATCATTTCTGTTAATGTTGAATTTATTTCACAGACTTGTTTTTTACTTGTGACTTTATTAATAAGAATTAGGAGATTTTAAATCAAAATGTTGGAATATTATAATCACAGAAGTCATTTTGTGTGTGTGTGTGTTTTTTTTTTAATGAAGACTGAAGTTGCTGAAGATCCTCAACAAGTTTCAACTGTTCACCTCCAACTAGGATTACCACTGGTTTTTATTGTTAGCCAACAAGCTACATATGAAGCTGATAGAAGAACTGCAGAATGGGTTGCTTGGCGTCTTCTGGGAAAAGCAGGAGTTCTACTCTTGTTAAGGTATCTTAAACGTTCAGTATTCACTATATTTAGCAAAACAATAATTTTCACATTTTAAAATATGATAATTTAATCATAAAAATAAATTCAAATCTCTAATAGATTCATATATAGTTAGAACCAGTTGCTGAGCTAAAGTCTATACATTAATTATAATCTTGATTAAAATTTAGAACTTTAAACCTTGCCTAAATGAAGATGTAGATTAAGATGGAGCTAGAAAATCTGGTTTGTATTTATGTGTAAATTTTTTCAGACTCATTACATTGTAATCTTTTTTCATAAACATTTTTTAGTATAAGAATTTATAGTTTTAGATTGACATCCTGGATGACTATAATTCTTCAGATAGCAACATAAAAACATTTATTTCCATTTTGAAAAAGGGATTCTTTGAAAATGAACATTCCTCAGCATGCCAATGTGGTCTTCAAAAGAGCAGAAAAGGTTAGTTGTTTTATGTATTGGTCTACAATGTCTGGTTATTTAAATAAAGTCAATACATGTGCTCCCAAAGTATATGTTTATTATAGAAAAAAATCTGTAAATTATTCAAAGATAATTGCTGTGTTAACATTTTGGTGTTCTTTTCATGTGTCAGTCTGTCTCTTTTTCCTGTGTGTGTGTGTGTGTGTGTGCGTGTGTGTATTTATTAATATATGTATTTTAAGGAAATCAGGATCATGCTATATATCCTACTTTTCACCTAAAATTACATCTAATTACTTGCTCTTGTGACATAATGCCCATCTTCTGCACTGTTTTGAATATCACTGGTTTTTTTCCTTTGGCAAAATTTCTGAAAGTGAAATTTGTCAAAGGAAATGGAAATTTTTAAGGCTTAAACTACATTGTCAAATTGCCCCCCAGAAAGGTTATACTTTTACCAGCAGGGTTTGGAATTCCTTGTTTCTCATATATCTTTGCCAATACTGAGAATTACTGTCTTAAAAAAAATCTTTTTGGTTAACAATAAAGTGACAAAAGCTCAAAAAAAATCTTTTCTATAGACAAAAAAGTTCTTTTTTAATTTGCATGTTCTTGATTACTAGTGAGGTTGAACTGTTTTTTTAGGTTTATTGGCCATTTATGTTTGCTTTGTAATTTTCTGTTACTGTCCTTTTTTTTCTTAAATTTTTTTTCTTTTTAATTCTTAACATCTTCTAAATACTATATAAAATATGCTAAAAAGTTGATTAATATGTTTAAGAACTGCCAGACTAAAACTTAAATTTTCTTGCCTAAATCTATGGCAGTAATATTGGGTTAAGAGTTAGAAAACTTGCAGCATGGGCAGCATAATGAGACCTCATCTCTACAAAAAATTTTTTTAAAAAGCTGGGTGTGGTGGCATGCACCTATAGTCCTACCTACTTGGGAGGCTGAGGCGGGAGGATCACTTGAGCCCTGGAGTTCGAGGTCACAATGAGCTGTGATTGTACCACTGCACCCCAGCCTGAGTGGCAAAGTGAGACCCCATCTCTGAATAAAATTAAATAAAATAATAAAAGAGTTGGAAAACTTGGATTTTTGTTCCTTGTTGTTCTGGGACTCGATTTTCTTTTTAATATATATTTTTGCCTTGTTTGTTTTTGTTGAGACAGAATCTCCCTCTGTTGCCCTGGGGAGAACAGTGGCATCACTGTAGCTCACTGCAACCTGTAACTCCTGGGCTCAAGCGATCCTTCTGCCTCAGCCTCCTGGGTAGCTGGGACTACAAGTATGCGCTGCAATGCCTGGCTGGTTTTTTTTTTCTTCCCTTTTTAGTAGATACTGGGTCTCATTCTTGCTCAGGCTAGTCTCCAATTCTTGAGCTCAAGCAATCCTCCCGCCTCGGCTTCCCAGAGTGCTAGGGTTACAGGCATGAGCTGCTGCGCCTGGCCTGGGACTAGATAAATGAATTAACTTCTCCCCAAGACTCAGTTTCCTCATTTATGAAATATTCATAAAACTTCCCCTTCTAACTTACAATAAATTTTATAAAACAAATGAAAACTATAGCATTGTTCAAATATGTGATAGTATGGAGGTAGGTATGCTCTGCATATTGCCAGATAATGGAAGGAATACACGTAGAATCTTCTGAAGCCATTTTTTGCTAGTAGATAAGGAACCTTAAATCAGAAATTATTTGTTACTGGGAAATAGGTTTTGTAAAGGAATTAAAAGTTCATGTTGTTTCCCAGTTTTGATGTGTTAAATTGTTAAAATATATTAAAATAATTTTATATAGTGTGAGGTAAGATAGGTTATATATTAGATAGCTATCTCTGTAAAGAGGTTTTTTGTAAATGATAGAATAAGTTTTTCTATGAGTTCATTAAATTCAATATAAATTTTTTTTTACCTCTTCATCAGGGCAATAATGTTGATCCTGGGTTTATATAATCATCCTTTCTGTCTCCCTTTCCTGTGCCCTTCCAGGCAAATGGTTTGAGTACTAAAACTGTTACACAGATAGTATCATATACTTGTATTACTGTATTAAAAGCCTTATAATATATTGTAAGAGTTATAAAACATTTCTGTTAGCATTGTATTAGTTCTCTAGATATTGTTTTCTCTATGGCAGTGATTAGCAATATAGTATTAAGAATTTATGCTATAGGCCTGGCACGGTAGCTCATGCCTGTAATCCTAGCACTCTGGGAGGCCAGGGTGGGAGGATTGTTTGAGCTCAGGAGTTCAAGACCAGCCTGAGCAAGAGCAAGACCCCATCTCTACTAAAAATAGAAAAATTAGCCAGGCTTAGTGGCATGCGCCTATAGTCACAGCTACTCAGGCTGAGGCAGGAGGATTGCTTGAGCCCAGGAGTTTGAGGTTGCAGTGAACTACGATGACACCACTGCGCTCTACCCAGGGCAACGGAGTAAGACTCTGTCTCAAAAAAAAAAAAAAAAAAAAGAATTTATGCTATAGAATCATACGGCCTAGTTCAAATCCTACTCTGTAATTGTAATTCTGGGCAAATTACTTGACCTCTATGTGTCTCCATTTTTTCCATTGTAAAATGGGAATATTAATAATATCTACTTTAAAGGGTTCTTGGGTCAGTATGTTAAATGAAATAATGTAAAGTGCTTAATTAGTACTGGGCCCAACACACTGTAAGTGCTCATGAATAATAACTAGTATTCTTTTATGCAATAAATATTTATTATGTACCTGTGGTTTTTCAGGCACAATCCTAGGCTTTGAGGATATAGCCATAAACCAAACCAAGTGTGACAGGAGACATAAAAACAAGCATAGCTAAAATGTCAGATGGTGTTAAGGGCAATGGAGAAAAACAAATTGAGGTAAGGTGAGAGGGTACTCATGGAAAACCTCACTAAAAAGAAGTGAGAATAAAGCAAAGGAGTGAGCCTGTGGCCATGTGGGGAAAGAGTATTCTAGGAGAGAGAACACAAGTGCAGGGGCCCTAAGAAGAGGAGTGAGCCTCTGCCTAATAGGATAGTATTACAAGGAGTAGTGTCATGCCTAGAATCATTCTTAGTATGTAAGTTTTTAAAGCCCTTTTTAATCTTTTCTTAAACACTTTTTATAAAAAAAACTAAACACATTGAAAAATAGAATGAACAACCATATACTTACTACCTAGATTCAGCAATTAACATTTTGTCATATTTGCTTCATCTATTATTTTTTCTGAAACGTTTCAAGAAGGTTAGAGATATCTTGATATTTTATCCATAAAAATTAGCACACATCTCTAAAAACTATTGTTATTCTCATATAATCACAGTCTCAATGATCACACCTAACAAAATTAACAATATTTTTTTAATATTAATATCATAGCCTAATCTCAAAGTTAGTCCATATTCAAATTTTTTCATCTTAAAATTATTTTTTCTAGGTAGTTTTTAGGAATGAAAATCCAGTAAAGGATTATAAAGTGCACTTGGTAGGTTTCCTAGCTCTCTTAATATCTTAGATCACCCTTTCCTTTTTTCACCATGACAATGACTTTTTAGATACATTGGGCTAGTTTTTCCATATTCTGGAATTGTTTCCTTTAGCTTTTGTCTGCCTTGTTCCCTATGTTTTCTATAAACTGGAAGTTAGATTTAAGGTCAATTAGCTCCATTAAACATTTTGGATAAGAATACTTCGTAGTGCAGACTTCATTACAGTTCATCTTCTCCTAAAGTGCATGGTGTCTTTTTTTCTCAGTGTCACCATGTTTGATTGCTGAATTAAGGTGGAGACAACCAATTCTCTCCATTATAAGATGCATTTCCCCCTTTCTAATTAGCAAGGAAACTATAGATAGAAATGAAAATAATATCATAAGAGATACCAATATTCACCCACAAGAATGGCTAAAATTTTAGAAAGTAACAATACCAGTTGTTGACAAAGATGTGGGGTTCCAAGAACTTTTGTATATTGCTGGTAGGAGTAAAAAGTGGTACAGTGAGAACTGTTAAAATATTTGGTAGTATTACTAAAGCTGAAGCTATGTATGTCGTATGAACCAGCGATTCCATTCCTAGGTATATGCCCAATAGAAGTGCATACAAATATATACCAAAAGACAACAGTATTGTATAATCTTCATAGCAGTATTATTTATGATAGTCCCAAACTGGAAATAATACATGTTGATGAGCAGTAGCATGATTAAATAAATACAGTATACTCACATAATGAATACTTTATAGCATTAAAAAAGAATAAACTGCATTTATATATTAACATGGATAAACCTCACAATGTTGAACAAAAGAAGCAGTCACAAAAAGAGTACAAATTGTATAGTTCCATTATATAAATTCAAAAACTGGCAAAATTTATAGGTGATTATCTTAGTCCAGTTGGACTGCTATAACAAAATACCATAATCTTGATGGCTTATAAACTACAAAAATTTGTTTCTCAAAGTTCTGGAAGCTGGGAATTCCAAGATAAGGTGCTGGCAGATTCAGTGTCTGGTGAGGGCATGTTTCCTGGTTCATAGAAGGCTCCTTCTTGCTGTGTTCTCACATGGTAGAAAGGACAAGCTAGTTCTCTGGGACCTCTTTTATAAAGGGTACTAATTCCATTCTTGAGGGCTCTGCCCTCATGACCTAAGCACCTTCCAAAGGCCCCACCTCCTGATACCATCACACTGATGATTAGGTTCAACATATGAATTTGGAGAGATAGAGCATAAATATTCAAATCATAGCAGTGATGAAAGTCAGAATAGCGATGACTTTGGGGGAGGGTAATGACCGAGAGAGGCAAGAATATGGCCTCTGTGTGTGCTGGCAATGTTCTGTACCTAAATCTGTGTGGTGGTTATATAGGTATGTCCATTCTGTAATAATTCATCATATTATACACTTAAAATGTTCCTTTCCATGTTCTGTGTGAATGTTATACTTCAATAAAGTTCACTACAAACATTTCTGTGAGACTTTGGATCAAATTCAGTTTAATTGATTTTGATTCCTCTACCTTTTAACTCCATTATATTTCTACAGGAGTCAAAAATTGCTTTTTTTGAATATGATGTTAAAAAGATAAAGATATGTGACATCAAAGAATAAACATACTTGGGGCTACTTTATAGCTTTATTCCAGTGTATCGTTACAGTCAGGAATAATTTGCTAAAATATTGTACTGGCCTAAAATTTCATGTTTTTTAAAATGTGATAGTTGGGCATTAGTGAAAGAAATCTTAATGGAATAATCTCAATGTAATAGAATTTGGTACTCTTAAGATACCTAGGAGCCAGATAGTAATTTATTATTTATAGCTCAAGAGGAAATTGAACTTTTTAGTGGAATTAATTTAGATGAAATATTGTTTTGAATATTTCTATGGAATATCAAAATAATCAATTTTGATTGGCTCTAGTTGCAATAAAATTGTATATATTTCCATCCTATATAGAGAGAGGACTTGCTCTTATATGTGAAATGTTTCACAGACTTTAGTATAAAGCAGTTGTGACAAGAAGCAGGTGAAATTTTTATTTCCTCTTTGTTTGCCATCTTTTTCAGTAGTGCACACTGTCTTTATATAAGGTATGTTTTGGGTGATTTACATTTCTTAGTAATTGTGGAGTTAATTTTTTTTTGTTTAATTTTAAAACTGAAGTGCAAAGGTTTAGTTTCATTTTAGTGTCAAACAAGTAAAACATATTTTTATATTAAAATGTGTTGTGGCTGGGCACAGTGGCTCATACATGCAATCCCAGCACTTTTGTAGGCCAAGGCAGGAGGATCACCTGAGGCCAGGAGTTCAAGACCAGCCTAGGTAACACAGCAAGACCCCACCTCTAAAAAATAAAAATAAAAAAAATAGCTGGACATGGTGACTCATACCTGTAGTCCCAGCTACTTGGAAGCCTAAGGTGGGAGGATTGCTTGAGCCCAGGAGTTTGAAGCTGCAATGAGCTATGATCATACCACTGCCCTCCAGCATGGGTGACAGAGTGAGACCCTATTTCTGGGAGAAAATTTTAGTCATTTTTTAAAAAAATTAATGTATTTCTAGGGAGTACCATTGGAATTTTTGGTGTTACGTGATGTTGAATCAATAATATCCCATGTGGAAAATAACATGCACATCGAAGAAATACAAGAAGATGAAGATGATGACATGGAAGATGCAGATATGGGTAATGTGTTGTAATGCTCCCCTCCCCGCTCCCACCCAGCATCATCAAGTCAGTGAAATTTCCAATGAGTTAACTTTCTCATAGAATGTATTCACATTGAAGACTATATGAAGAAACCTGGAGAAATTTATTTTGAGTCACATTTTATCAAGTCGATTTGTTGAAAAGAGGTAAGGATGCTATATTTTGTTTAGTGATACCTTCCACTGTTACATATCAGGCTTCAAAGTTCCACATCTGTGCCTTTATCCTCCAAATCAAAATTCTTTTAGCCTCTCTGGACTAGTCATTGTTTAAAAACTCTACCTAGAAGCCACAATATTATAGTTCATTTTTATTATTCCTAGTAGGAAATGAAATTCTAATAAATATTGTTGTATTGGTAGTTGTAAATAAGTCTGATTGTTAATTGTATGGGGAGTAAATTTCAATAACGTTTTAATACTTCTTTTTAAAAGTTATTTCTGTTTAGTATTGCTCTTATTGCTTACGTTTATGAAGTATTCTATGGTTTTCAAGGCTTTTTCTTCACACATTATTTACTTTGATTGTTATCTTCCAAGGGAGCTGATGTGACCTTCATTTTATAGATGAAGAGTCTGCATTTCTGCAGAGTTAAGTGATCTGCTAAAGGTCACACAAGTGGCATGTAGTGGAGCCTGGCTTAAAGCATTCTGACATGGAATCTTATTTATTATCATTATCGTTCCTGATATTTCTTTCATAACATTAATCCTATCCGTAATTGCTCATTTACTTTTCTCTCTTCTCCACTAGTCTATAAATACCTCTAAATCAAGGATTATGCCTTTTTCATTTTTGTATCCCATTTAGTAAATACTTCAATGTTTTATATAGTACCAACATCATGACCTCCACGAAGGAAGCAATTTACATATTCTTTTTATGAGACCTGTTCATTATTATGACCAAAGTCTATATTATAAACTTAAATAAGAGCTTTAACTGTTACTAGTGACCAGTTTCTTGGTTTGAGCTGAGCTCTTTTTCTTTTGATATGCAGAGATTAGAATTGTCTGTATTCCTCTCCAGAGTTCTTTATAACATTGTCATGACATAGGCAGACCTGTGTTCTGGTCTCTTGCTCCGTCCTTTATTCCTATTATGGTTCATATGTTTGAACCTTCAGAGTTAGGGGACTTGCCTCAGTCTCAGTTTAATAAGATTTCCTGGCCCAAGCCGGAGTTGCCTGTTTCAAGATCCCCTTCTGGCCACATCGCCCAATATTGCTTCCTGACTCTGTGGCCTTAGTTTGCCCTCTGGTGCTGCCTTCTCTCTCTAGCCTGTTTCTGGTATTTCTTCTGCAGCATTGCATTTTTTGTTTTTCATATTTAGCTTCCTATTGTTTGTAATCCATATTGACCCAGAATATTGTATGATGTCATGCCCACATACCTAATTCTCCCCGCTCCCTTTATATCATTTCCATTACACATAAGAAAACTAGAAAACGGTTAGCAAAAAATTTGTTACCATCTGAGAGTGGAAATCAGGGGCAAGTGTTCCCCAAAGGAAATGGGGCAAAGCATGAATCAGAATGAAAAGGACTGGGTTCTGTAGACATGAAAAAAAGAAAGGAAAAGAAACATGTATGACTGAAAATCGTGTGTACATATCGACGGATAAGTGAAAGGTAGAGCTGAGGAGGGAGTAAATTACAAGTGAGGGTAGCTTATTATAGAGTATAGGAGGGAGAGAAAGGAAGTGTTAGAACAAAATAAGGGATGAATTGGGAAATAAGAAAAGACTGGCAGGAAAATGAAAATATGTGAATAAGAAGAAAAAAGCCATACAGTGAAACAGAAAATAGGCCTTTACTAATTCTGGAATTGAGGATGTAACTTTTTAGTGTCATGGAATGTGGTGTTTAAAAAAGTACCTTATTGTAGTGCAACTCATGATTCACAGAGTTGAACACTGAAGCCCAGAGAGTTAAGTGATTGACTTAGAGTCGTACAGTTAGAGGATGGCTGAGATGGTATTGAAATATAGATCTAGAATTTTATTTCACTGTACAGGTGTGCATTGCTTAATGATGTGGATACATTCTGAGAAATACATTGTTAGGCCATTTTGTCTTTGTGTGAACATTATAGAGTGTACTCACACAAACCCAGATGGTATAGCCTATGGCTGCTAGGCTACAAACCTGCACAGCATGTTACTGTACTGAATACTGCAGGCAATTGTAGCACAATGGTAAGTATTTGTGTATCTAAACACATCTAAACATAGAAAAAGTATAGTAAAAATGAGGTATAACAGATAAAAAATCACACACCTGTAATAGGGCACTTACCATGAATGGAGCTTGTAGGACTGGAAGTTGTTTTGGGTGAGTCAGTGAGTGAGTGGTGAGTGTGAAGGCCTAGGATATTACTGTACACTACTGTAGACTTTATAAACACAATACACTTAGGCTGTACTAAATCTATTATAAAATATTTTTTTCAATGGCCGATTAATCTTAGCTTGCTATAACTTTTTTACTTTAAAAGCTTTTTTAATTTTTCAAATGTTTTGACTCTTATAACACTTGGCTTAAAACACAAACACATTGTACAGCTGTACAAAAATATTTTCTTTATATCCTTATTCTATATGCTTTTTTCTATTTTTAATTTTTTGTATACTTTTTAAACTTTTTTGTTAAACACTAAACACAAACACATACATTAGCCTAGGCCTACACAGGGTCAGGAACATACAAAGCACTGTCTTTCACCTCCACATCTTGTCCCTCTGGAAGGTCATCAGGGGCAATAATATGCATGGAACTGTCATCTTCAGTGCTAATAAAGTCGTCTTCTATAATACCTCCTGAAGGACTTGCCTGAGGCCCTTGTTCAGTTAAAATTTTTTTTAATAAGTAAAGGGAATACACTATAAAATAATGATGATAGTATAGTAAATATATAAACCAGTAACACAGTTGTTTATTATTATAAAGTATTATGTACTGTACCTAATTGTACATGTTATACTTTTATATGACTGGCAGCATGGGTTTATTTACCACCAGCATTACTAAAAACACATAAGTAATGTGTTATGCTATGACATTAAGACAGCTATCGAGAAGAAGAGCTCACCACCTCCACCGGCCTAAACTTAGCTTTCACCTCACCTCCCTCTCCCCTCAAACAGGACATCATTAATACAGGAAATTTTTAAAAATAAAAAGATGGGCCAAAGCGTCAAGAGCAGGCAATGCCTTACAGGGCTGACATGATTCCTGTCTGGGATTGGGGGAGGAGAAGGAGCATTTTGGATGTTTCTATTCTTGGAAAGGAAAGCACCTCGGGGTCCTGTACCATCAAAAGATTCTAACACATGAATGTTTTCAGGGAATGAACGATATGCCTGTGCTAAATGACCTCATCTTGGGGTGTGATGATGGGGACAAATGTGTAGAGGCTGAAGAACTGGAGGCAGGGGGAAAGACAGCTATCATCGTCACTAGGTGATAGGAATTTTTCAGCTCCATTATAATCATGGGACCATGGTCGTATATGCAGTCTGTCATTGACCGAAACATTCTTATGCAGCATAACTGTATTAGAAATATGTAAAATAATACTTTAGTTCTCTGGATGCATTGTCTTCCTCCCTTTCTCCCTTCCTTTCTTTTTAATGTGGTGTTACAGAGAATTATGAATATACCATAAAGTAGATAGGATATGAGAACAAACCTCCTGGTATCCATTACTTGGCTCCAACCACCATCAGCCCATTGCTAATCCTGCTCTACTCACTTTCCACTCATTATTTTGTAGCAAATTCCAAACATAATTTCATCCATAAATATTTCCTATGTGTTTCAGAAATATAAGGATTCTTTAAAAAGTTAATACTATTATTGCATCTAAAATTAATCATTCTTAGTATCATCAGATACCTAGTCAGTGTTTGATTTCCAGTTGTGTCATGCTTTTTCCTATTTCCGTGCTTTTGCACATGCTGTTCCCTTGGCTCTGTGTGCCTCCACCGCCTCCCTTTCTGCCTGAGTTTTATTTTTCTTTTAATATTCAGCTAATATCAACTCTTCTAAGAAGTTTTAATTATCTGTCCAATCAACTTAGATACTTTGCTATTCAATCTATACAAACTTCCAATAGAATATTTATGGATTCAAAATGTGTTTTTGCTACATGGATGGATGGATCCTATTGATCTATCTAAATTAATAAAAGGTTTTTACATATTCAGAATCCACCCATGACTTGCTGCATTTAGGATAAAATCTGAAAATCTTAGCTCAAATGGCTTCTTATGATCTAGCCACTACCTAGCCTAGAGTTTTCTCATGCCATGTATTTCTTCAATCCTATCTTGTTTTAGTCAAATTTGCCTTCTCTCAGTACCTGACATACGCTAAACTCTTTTATATCTCTGAGCTTTTCCACGTTATTCTTTGTTATTCTCTAAAAAATTCTTTTCATTCTATACATGGCAGATTTTGAGTTTCGCTATCTAAATCTCTCTGTTAAAATCTCTTACCGTATCCATTACCTTTCTTCATAAACTGACACAATTTATAATTATATATTTATTCAGTGCTCAGTTTGTCTGACTTTTCCATAGATAGAAGCTCCATGTGATCGGAGACTACATCTGTTTTGTCTACCACTTTCCCTGGTGTCTACCACAGGGCTTGGTGTATAGTAGAGGCAAAACAAACACTGTCAAATATGTATGGTAGCACATTTTTGGATTATAAATGAATATATTTATCACAAAGTAGCATTATTTATATTATTTGCAGAATAAATTTTAATAATTCTGGAATTGACTAAAACTTCACAATTTCTGGGTTAGGAAGCATCTCAGAGTCCTTTATAGGAAGATAGTATGAATTCAAAAGTGTACAAAGTACCAAATTTTCATAGGCTTGCTTATATTTTAAGAGCTTAAATGTTTTTAATTATACATCTATATTTAAAATAATTTCTTTTCAGACATTTTAGATATTCAAGATGATGAAGTGGCAGAAACTGTTTACAGAGATAGGAAGAGACAATTACCTTTGGAACTGACAGTGGAACTAACAGAAGAGACATTTAATGTGACAGTAATGGCTTCTGACAGCTTAGTGCTCTTCTATGCTGGTTGTGAGTATGAGCCTATAGAGGAGACATTTAAAAGACATTTTAGGACATTTAAAAGTACACAGATTTTATTTTGCATTCTGCAGATTGCATGTTATAAAATGATATAGCTTTCATGTCTCAAGTAGACTGAACATATTGAAGCATTTACTTCTAACTGATTCTTGGGTCGTATAGCTGATTTATATATATATATATATGTATCTGATTTACAAATTAAAGGTTAATTATTAAACTAGATGTTAATTTTGGAAAATTGTGATGCAAGCTAATGATTTTTAATGTACTAACAGTTCTTATAGATTTATAGTAAGTATATTGCCTTTATCTTAAAAAAATAGCCATTCAGTTATATTCCTTGCAGTATGCATGCAGAAAATCAGTTGCATTTGAAAATCCTCTTAAGTACTTAGACTATATTGAGGACTGTATACTAGGATATTTCTTATTAAGAAATAACAATTTTTGGAAACCCAATAAATCCGTTTGTTACATGCAAGTATGGATGCTTTGGAGATACACATGTAATATCTGTTGAATTTTTTATTTCAATGTGTAGGGCAAGCAGTATCCATGGCATTTCTGCAATCCTATATTGATGTGGCAATTAAGTTGAAAGGTATTGTACTGTAGTATGCATGCTTATTTTCCTGATTCTGAGCTGTAGCTCTTGTAAAACTGTCATGGTAAAGATGTAGAAAACCCCATAAAATTTTGGGTTATTATGTTTGTGTCTCCAAGGTTAATGAACCGAAAGTTTCAAAAGTGCTCACTTTGATTTGTCTTAATGGAAACTGTCTTTAGTAGGAAATAGAGAACATTTTTTTAAGTACTGTGGCTACACAGTTAATCCAGTAACCTTTTTGGGTGAATCCAGTCACTCAGCAAGCATTTACTGAGTGTCTATTTTGTACTAATTACTATTAAATACTTGAGATAAAAACTTGGCAGATAAGACCCAGTTTCACAGTCTAATGAAAGATCAAAGATCCCAGTATTTTTAAAGCTACAGTATAGTTTGCTCCTCGTGGACTAGAATATTTCTTAATAGTCAACATCTTTTTATTTTAACTATTCTGTGAAATCTGATCTAATGGTGGGCAAATAAGAATCCAAGGAATGGACTTTGACTCAAGATATCTATACCATCTTTCCAGCAAAGACATAGCGAGAAGTAGGAAGGCCT